GCTTAAGTTTCTTGTTTTCTCTTAATTGGCCAGAGGATGCGTGTCCTTATCAGAGAGACAGAGAGACAGAGACAGGGAGAGGGAGAGTGCACCCTCCAGTTTGGTGTGGTCACACTGCAGTCCCGCCACAGGGCGGGCCCTTGCTTTCTTTTAAATTAGTTACTTACAGAAAAAGAGTTGGAATTCAGTTTCGATTTATTCCTGGACAAGCCCAGGGCACTAGAGCCACCTCCTTCCGTTGAGCTGTTTCAATGCCACCTGCCTAAAGTCTACCATTTAGTCTGTACTGCCCTTTCTCTCTCCAGACCCCGCGAACCCTCAAGCCAATGCATTTTTTCGGATGCATTTCAAAGCAAGTTGGCCTTTGTCTTACCTTAATGTCTTTCCCTTTTATGTTGTTTGCAACAGGAAGAGTAAAACACACTCATTTTTATAGAAATGTGTGAATAACCTTTTTTGTTTTCTCCAAAGCTGTTCTATCTTTAGTAACCAATAGCCATCGAATGTGTGGTTACCCTGACATGTTCGTGTTCATACAAGAAAGTATGCATGTAGGGGTCTGTCCATGCACACTCCTGTGGGCACACCACCTGTGCATGTGTCTGCTTGGCCTAACTCCATAATTCCGTGACAGTGTACATGGTACGTTGTTTTCTGTTTTACTCACTTCCACATAAGCATAGTCACCCTTTCCAGCTGAAGTACATACAGTAAAACGCATCCTTTTAAAGGCTGCACACTAGTTCTTGATCATTTACTGAACTGTTCTCCTGCCAAGACATATTTGAAGTTTCAATTTCTGCTTATCTATGAGCATTGTCATCGTAAACTCTCAAACACGTACTGTAAGGGCTGGTGTCTTTTCTTCTCTGCATAAATTCCCAAACATAGACTTGTTACTAAGGGGATATATTCAGTTGTTTGTTTTCTTATAATTTTTCAGTTAATTTTCAATTATATGTGTATACTTTTATTTTTTTAACAACTTAATTGATGTGTAATCAACATGCAGTAAACTGCCCATATTTGCAGTCACTTTGTGGAGTTTTGACATGTGCGTACACCCAGGAGACTCACCGTGACCGAGATGACGCGTTTTGCCCTCACCCCTGAATAGTCCTCCTGCGTCTTTGTCATCTCATCCTCCCGGGTCTCCACCACCAAGCACTGATTGCTTTCTGTGCTCCCAGAACCTTAGTCTGCAGTTTCTAGAACTTTACATTTTAAACAGAATCACGCCAGGTGTGCTACTGTTTTCTGTCTCTCTTCTTTTACTCAGTGTGAAGTTTTGCGACACGCACTGCTCCATTATCTGCCTTTGTTCATTAAAAAATTATTTATTTAATTTTATTTGTTGTTATTATTTATTAATTTGACCAGAGAGACAGAGAGAGAAAGGGAAAGTGAGAAAGCAAGCTACCAGGTCTGGGACTCGAACCGCAGTCAGCCATGTGGGAGTCCAATGCCTTAACCACCGTGTCACTTGCCCACCCCATTATCCATTTATTTTGTTGGGTGGTAGCTGTAGCCTTACCCTGCATAGATGACCACAGTGGGTTACCCCCTTACCTGCAGACAGACCCTCGAGGAGTTCCCGCCGTGTGAGAGTTGCAGTTAAAGCTGATGTCAATATTTGACTACAAGCCTTTGCATAAAGTAGACACATGTTTTTATGTTTTCCGGAGTCATATCTAGGAATGTACATATAACATTTTAAGAAATGACTTGGCAGTTTTTCACAATTTAACTGTCTCCCAGCAACATTTGAGACTCCATGCGCTCTGCGTCGAAGCCAGCTGGTCTGAGAACTGCAGCTGTTCTAGTCGCTGTGCTGTGCTGTTTTTATGATAATGCCTTAACCACCGTGTCACTTGCCCACCCCATTATCCATTTATTTTGTTGGGTGGTAGCTGTAGCCTTACCCTGCATAGATGACCACAGTGGGTTACCCCCTTACCTGCAGACAGACCCTCGAGGAGTTCCCGCCGTGTGAGAGTTGCAGTTAAAGCTGATGTCAATATTTGACTACAAGCCTTTGCATAAAGTAGACACATGTTTTTATGTTTTCCGGAGTCATATCTAGGAATGTACATATAACATTTTAAGAAATGACTTGGCAGTTTTTCACAATTTAACTGTCTCCCAGCAACATTTGAGACTCCATGCGCTCTGCGTCGAAGCCAGCTGGTCTGAGAACTGCAGCTGTTCTAGTCGCTGTGCTGTGCTGTTTTTATGATTGAAATGTGCATTTTCTTGAAGACTAATAGTGCTGAACATCTTTTTATATACTTATTAGACACATGTTCTATGATGAAGCGTCTGTTCAAATCTTTTGTCTATTTGTTGGGGACCAGGGGGGAGAAGTGA